GGGACAAATCCTATTGACTGTAAGTACTGTCACTTGTGGTGATTTTTTTTATTTGTAACTAAGCTGTGTTACTAAACCCACAACAGTAAAATCAGTCTGTATATGCAGTAAAGCATGGGCCCAGAGGAGAGAGATCCATACCAGAACCCACCTACAGAGGAGACCTCTGACTGTTTTATATTAAATGCGCATGTAAAATGCTCTTCTGGTGAGTGTGCAATTTTACTATTTTCCGCACGTCACCGGATTTACTGGGATAATTAGAGTCACCGATCTGGAATATTTACCTGCACCTATATCGAACAATTTATTATTTAATATTTGAGTATAGTGTGCAGTTCCTTTGGGATATTTAGTATCTTCATACTCATCCACATTTTGATTGGACATTACTTCATTTTATGCAGATTTAAGTATTTTCACTAGCAGTTTTAGTGTGACATTTTAGCTTCATGTGTTTTTTATATTGGTTTTATACTGCCTTCATTTATCTAAGCACTGCACTACGTGATATATATTTTGATTTTAGAAGGTTTATGGTTTCCTTTTTAGTGTATCAGCTGCTTTTTATATAAGCGCTCGCTGAGTCCCATTTTTGTAGCGTACAAAGTTTTAGTGATGGTTGCCCCTGGAAATGACTGGATTGCAATGCACAGTGATCACCCAAGCCATTGTATCTAAAGTGGGCAGCATGGTGGCTAAATGGTTAACACTTCCACCTGGCAGTACTAGGGTTGTTGGTTCAAATCCCAACCATGGCACCACCTGGAGTTGCCTCCATGCCTGGAGTTTGCATGTTCTCCCTGTGCCTGCGTGGGTTTCCTCTGGGTACTCTGGTTTCCTCTCACACTCCAAAGACATGCTGGTAGGTGAATTGGCTCCTGTCCAAATTGGCCCTAGTACATGTATGTATTAATGCGAGTTAGGGACCTTAGATTGTACGCCCCTTGAGGGTTAGGGACTAATGTGAATGTACAATATATATATTATATAATATATATATATATATATATATATATATATATATATATATATATATATATGTAAAAAGCGCTACGTAAATTGACGGCGCTATATAAGTACTTGAAATAAATAATAAAGTACACTCTTTCAGTTGTTGTGGATTTCTGAAAATGATTTCAAATGTCACTATATTTACTGTTTGCACAAGTACAAATTATTTACATTTCTATTCTTCATTATTATATGAAGAATAGAAATGCTGCCAGTCAGTAGGATTCTAGGGTAGGGGTGGGCACAGACACAAACTATGTAAGTGTGACAGTTAGTGTTTGCATAGCTGTGCTCAAGGAAATCAGCGTGGTCAAAGTGCTAACTAGCTAGATTTGGTGCTTTCAGCAATTCATTATTTCCATATCCTCCACTCCCAGGACTGAATGCCTATATCATGCAGGGGACAACAAAAGCATCCACAGGAGAGCTGGAGATATGTGCTGATGCAGCTGCAGTATAACAGCATCCTCTATCCCACTCATTTCATATGCGTTCTGATAACTTGTATGATTCTCAGCAGAATTGGTCAAAAGCAAATTTTCTGTCCAGATAATCTGCCTATGTATGAGCACCTTTACTCTTCATCTCTTACTGGTACTGCATCAAAGCTGTCAACTCCAACTCCATCTGCAAGATCTACTCTATCTCAGTAAAACGAATATTCAGTTGGGGATTCCGAAAAGGGTGTTGAGAGGTCAACGTGGGGTTGTCTCAGCTATGTCTCAGATACATAATTCTTCTCTTACCACAAGGAAGAAAACACTTTGTCTAAGTGGCGTTATTAAAAAATAAACAGAAATAGTAATACTGGATAAAACAACTGAAGGGTGTATGTCAGAATGTGTGTATCTACATATGATGGCTAGCCCTTATGTGGCCAAAACAACCCATATGTAACAGAAGAACACTTACAGTTATTGTTCATATTACTCCGTATTCATTACATTATAAACTCTCATTTACTAAACGGGCAAATAACATAGTTTGGTAAAACAAAGCTATATATAACAATTTAAAACAAGTTGTTGAAATCACTTCTGCTTGCTCTGTTCACTGTACACAATAATCATTACCAGGAGATTATTCTTGTATATTATTTAGTCCCTTTTTTCTTGGTATCCTGCTAATGGGCAGTCCCAGATGCATTGGCCAGGAACTATTCCTTGCATACGACTTTCTCAGGATAATCAACTGGAAGGTCTTGAGAAAGCTCTATGTACAGGACTAAATCCTCCAACAGTGGGAGGTTTCCAGCACCCAGTGGAATGAAACTGGATTACTAGAAAGCTAGCAAGAAGTTTGTTGGAACTTCCTTTGAGATAACTGCATGCTAATATTTTCTATTGTTATGGGCAAAGTGGCTGTATTTATCATTTTCATAGATGCATGTGATCTGTCAGTCAGGCAGTAGTTTGACTCTAAGTTTTGTGGGTCTGTAATTCTGAAGGTTTTTAATGCTTGTCTCTCCACACAAAAATAAAACTAAAAAAAAAAATAATCAGAACAAGGTTAGGGTCTCTACAGTCTAATACAGAACTGCCCATATGAGGCTGTAGTGAGAAGGCATGTAATCCTACTCTAATACGCCTAAGGAATAAGGGCTGGGTGCTACACCGGGTTAAAGGGAAGTTAGGAGACCTCTGGCAGGCTACGGTAGTGCAGGCGGAACTCTTGGTAAGATCAAGTCCTTCACGTCTCTCATAGATGTTTTCCTGTTTTTAAAGCAAAAGTGGAGTGCAATACAAGTACATAATCTACTCCAGATGCCTCAACATCAGGTTTCTTATCTATTTTGGTACACTGGTTGCCCCAAATCCAAAAGCAATCTGAATTCAACATTACTAATCCAGCTTTCTTGTTTGAGCAACTGGCCTTGACTCTCCACCGTCTAAGCCTCACTTGGCTAGTGAAGCCACTCATTTTAGTGATGGGATGATAATGAAGCTTATGATGCAGGAGGTGGCTAGGTCAGATACTCAAACTAGGAAACTAGGTCAATATTGTGCAGTCTGTAGAGTCTGGATGCCTAGGGCATTAAAAAGGGTAATGAACCCAATGACGTGCAAGCATATGGAGATGCCTGCTTAGTGCTGTCACCATGGATTAGGCAATTATATTACACTTAATGTTTGCTTTAAGTAGTAAGCTTAGTTGACATTACACAACATGCTTATAAAGATTATGAAAAAATAAGCCTGTGTTTTTATCAGCAGTCACTTGCACTTTTCTTGGTGTTTTGTCCATTGGCTTTCAGATGAAAGAATGTCAGGGGCGTAGGGTGTAGAAAGGGCCACCCACTGCTCAAATTGTGACTAATTCTTTATAAACCAGCTGAAAATTGAATCAGTGTATAGCAAGCTTTAGAAAGTCCTGAATCCAGCCACTGAACAAGTTTTTTTTAAAAGAAGAGGTCAACAATGGCAGGCTCCATATGTGTTCACTACTGGTTACCCTTACCTGAAGTGTGCCAAGTTGCATCAGAGGAATAACAGTGATGGTACAGAAGACATAAAGGGCCTGCATGTATCTTTCATTAGTCATTGACCTTATGGTGAGTAATGCCCTAAAAAAGCCTTATTGGGGTCAAGTTCCTGAAGATTCAACTTTGTGGTTGGTACTATACTTTGGGTATACTTCTTAAAATGAGTGATTCCACAGGTTTGTTTTTATACTTACCTGCTCTGTGCAATGGCTTTACCAATGATTTGCCCTCCTCTTCTGGGGTCCTTCTCCAGTGCTCCTGGCTCCTCTCCCTTTGAAGTGCTCCCATAGCAAGCCACAGAGAGAAAGGAGGAGCCAGGACGTCGTGACATCATGCCGCCGAACCATGTGGAGGCCCGGCGGCCATCTTACTTTCTGGACGGTCAGTCCACACTACACCTGACACTGCATTGGTCTATTTTACTACTGTTTATACTCGGATTTCATCAATTGGAATTTGCAAATTCATTTAATTAATAAATTATATCTTAAACTACTACACTATGGGCACTCTTTATGGTCTCCTTTGAGGAGCTATCTATTCACAGATCCCATCTGATCCAGCCACCTAGTGAATCCAGAGAAGGGAGTTCCTGTAAGCAGGCACCAGCACCCATCTATCCCTTAAAGGGACCTCTGGCCAGTTGGATCCTTTTGCATTCCTGTGTGCCCCTGACTACACCAACTTGAGGGAGGAGTATTCCCAGACCCGACCAGATCCATTAAAAGGAGACCTCTACTGATACATTTAATGCATATTTTAATTACGCATCTGGTGAGTGCAGGTAAGTATTTGGGGGGGGGGAGAGACTTATTACAAAGGTTTTTTCACCTTAATGCAAAGAATACATTAAGGTATAAAAATGTATGCCTTTACAACCACTTTAAACCAAGGACAAAGTTATTGCTAAATCAATAGGACCATAGTTGAAATGTAAAAAGTGCTCTGGAAGATAACGGGTATACAGGTATTGCTAAATCAATAGGCTTATAGTTGAAATTTAAAAAGTGCTCTGGAAGTGAACGGGTATAGAGACATTAAGTGGATAAAACAACCTTGCTAATGCACACAGAAGACAGCCACACTGTAAAAGAAGTACTGTATGCTCTGCAGAGATATATGATTGGCAGCAGAGATGAGATCAGACACATACTAAGACCCCTTTGCAGTGAGATTTCCTGCCCTGAAAATAATTACCCTTATCTTGGGTTGGATAGGCTTGTGGCATCACCATCCTATGGCCAACATAACCTCTTCCTCCTCCTTCCTCTCAACAAACACTCACCAAATGATTTATTTAAAAGGAAAAAAAGTCTCAACAAGAGATCTTCTGCAGTGCAGGAAAGTTTACACTAGATGTGTAAAATTTTAAAGAAACAAAAATCAGGGAAATCAGAATGAAAGTCAGAACATGTCACAGTTTATTCTCTTAAAGAAAATGAGATTATTTAATTAACAAGCACAACTTGCTCTGAAACAAATTTGTGTACCATAAAATCCATACCTGATTACTGTGGGGGTGATTTCTGAGCAGAAAAAGACGCTTAAACTTCCAACAGCATGCGATGAAAACATCCCAATGATTGAGAATACGATAGAGAATTTATTTTTCACAGTTTCACTCAAAGCTAGACAAATACAAAAGAGTGTTATACCATACCATTATAATTACGTGAATCTCACTTAGAAGTTTGAATTTATATCATGTTATTTTTACTCATGTGTCTCATCTAGCACTATCACCACATTGATTGATTACTGGTTTATGAAAGATCAGTGACTGACAAAAGAGTTTAGAAGTGAGGATTCGGAATGGCTGCTGCCGGCAACAGACTAGTACGAGACTTTGCAGAACAAGGAATAGTTTGGTGTTCAGATTTAATTTAGTGGTGATGTCAGTTTAGTAAACTGTTCATATACTACAATTTGAGTTTGCAAACTTTGCACACATTGGGGTCTACCAAAACAATCGTTTCAATATATACCCAGTAAAGTAGGCTTTCACACAGCATAGTTGTTGGCAAATTTAAAGGAGCTTGTACAAAGTATTATATAAAATAGCCAAAAAATGTGGCCCCCAACACAGAAGTAAATAACACCCTAAAGACCTCAGAATTCTGCACATCTGGATGTCTCAAATGACTGGTGCATTGTGGCTCCTCCATGCAACCCCTGTAAGATACAGAAGAGAGGTAGGGGCCAGCAGAAGAAATTATGGAGCGCAACAGCAGACCAGAAAATTGGTGTGGGATTCTTCAAGCACCGATTTCACTGCATTACAGCTGCGTTTGGCAGGAGATGGACGTAGTTTTTCTGATTTGCAGGGTCATATTTATTGGCCATTTTATTTCAGTAACAGATTCGCTCAAAGGTTACATTGCCAGAAATATTCTGTTCGGCAAAGAGAAATTTCAGAACTAATGTCTTACCTGTCTCAGGATGTTGAGTATATTTTCCAATCACTTATCACCAAAGAAAGCGTTGTAAGAAAAAAAAAAGCAAAGAAAAAAAAAAATCAGTGAATCTAATCAAATTGTGCAATCACCCTAAAACAACTTAACACTTTGCATAGAAATTTAATTACATTCAGATTAAATATCTTTGACAGAAGTGACTCCCTTAATGAATCCTGAAGCCAAAGATAGAATGTAATTGGAATGGAAATACACATGCAGAAATGGAGATGATTCTGTAGCTATACGCTGCCATGAGTCATATTAAACAAGGGAATGTGCAGGTTTATCTGCAAGAAATTAGTAGGCCTTTTATAATTAAAAAGACTATCACTAATAGAAGGAATTTTACGCCACCATGTGTGAAAAACTCACATCCGGGAATATTTCATTTCTGATGCAGAAATATTTTGAATTTCACTATTTTTATGTTATTCAACAAGCACACTAAACAGGGTATGAAATAAAAGAAAATATTCATGGACAGTATCAGCACCTTCCTAATCTGGTAGTGCATGTTTATATCTATAGTAGTAATTATGGTTTTCAAAAAACGATAATTTAATAACTGAAATATTTTTTTCCTATTTCCTTTTGTCTTTATATTATAGTAATAAAATAATGCCAAAAATAGCCTTACATGCTCCCCCTCAAAAAAAGGAAATCATGTGTTTTATATCTGTATGAATAATTATCAAATTATGTTTTACATCTTTGTCATCAATATTAAAGTTAAAGCCAAATTATTTGGGCCATAAATGAAGTGCAAAAATTCATTTAGCTGAGCAATACAAAGCAGCATGCTTACATAGTAAAACAGCACACAGCACATAATGTGAAACACACACAGCACACAGTTAACCCTTTGAGCACCCCAGATGTTAACCCCTTCCTGCCCAGTGTCAGTGCTTTTTATTAGCACTGATCACTGTATTAGGCTAGGTTCACATCTGTGCGGGTGATGCGGCTGCGGATCTGCATGAAAATCTGTGCAGCCGCACCACCCACACAGAGGAATGCAAACCCGCAGGCGGGTGCCATTACTTCTAATGGCACGCCACCCGCACTGGAAAACACAACCATACTGGGAACTGAGATTCCCGTGCGGGCTGCGTTTTCAGAAGTAGTGCAGGGACTTCTTCCCTGCGTGTCACGGGGCACGAGAGTCCATTCAAATGAATGGGCTCTCGGCCTGCGCAAAACGCGGTCTGCAAGGCCGCATATTTGTGAACAGGGGTTAGTGTCACTGGGGATGTCAGTGCCAGTTAGTCAGTTCCCTCCCAGTGTCATAATGCCCGCCACAGTCCTGCAGTTCCGCTATAAAAAAGTCACTGGTTGCTGCCATTACTAGTATAAAACATTTTTTTTTTTAATTCCAGTATATATACCGCCATTTTAAGATGCTGTAACTTTCACATAAACCAAATAATTTACATGTATTGTTATTTGGTTTAGCAAAGACATGTAGCAGAATACATTTTGGCCTAAATTTATGCTGAAATTTGATTTTTTAAAATTTTTTACTGGATATGTTTTGTAGCATAAAGTTAAAAATATAGTTTTTGTTTTTTTTTTTTCTTTTAAATTGTCGGCCTTTTTTTGTTTATAGCGCAGAAAAATGAAAAATGCAGAGGCGATCAAATACCACCGAAAGAAAGTTCCATTTGTGGAAAAAAGAACATAAATTTCATTTGGGTACAGCGTTGCATGACCGCACAATTGTCAGTTAAAGTAATCGCAAAAAATGGCCTGGTCAGGAAGGGGGGTAAATCCTCTGGAGGCCAAGTGGTTAATAGTGTCATGCAAATTTGTTGGTAAACTCTTTAATGTGAGTCTGTCCATAAATCCAAAGTGACAACCTAACCTCATGCATAAGAATAGGTGTGCCCCCTACATGATAATTCCTAGTTATAGGTCATTCTGGCACTGGGCATTGCACTGCTAAATGAGAGCAGGGCTTATACCTAGCCTTCACTACCTGAAAGCAGGAGCTCCAGGTGACACAAGAGGTACCGTATTTTCCGGCGTATAAGACGACCCCCTACTTTTCCTGTTAAAATATAGGGTTTGGGCTATACTCTCCGTATAAGACTACCCCATGTCACTGCCCCCCCAAATGTCACTGTCCTCCCCATGTCAGGCCCCCCATGTCACTACCCCCCCTCATGTCACTGTCCTCTCCATGTCAGACCCCCCATGTCACTGCCCCCCCTCATGTCACTGTCCTCTCCATGTCAGTGCCCCATTTCATGTCACTGGCCTCTCCAAGTCAGTGCCCCCCCTCATGTCACCGTCCGCTCCATGTCAATGCCCCCCCTCATGTCACTGTCCTCTCCATATCAGTGCCTCCCCTTGTGTCACTGTCCTCCCCATGTCACTGCCCCCCCCCAATGTCACTGCCCTCCCCATGTCACTGTCCTCCACATGTCACTGACCACTCCCACGTCACTGCCCATGTCTCTGTCCTCCCCATGTCAGGCCCCCCCACTGTCCTCCCCCCACATGTCACTGTCCTCCCCATGTCATTCCCCCCCTCCACGTCACTGTCCTCCCATGTCAGTCCCCCCCCCCATGTCACTGGCCCCCCACATCACTGTCCTCCACATGTCATGACCCCCCATATGTCACTGCCCCCCCACGTTACGGCCACCCATGTCACTGATCCCCCACATGTTAGTGTCCTCCCCATGTCACAGCCCCCCATGTCACTGTCCTCCCCATGTCACAATCCCCCCCCCCATGTAACTGTCCTCTCTCCGATTGATGATGCTCCCCAATACGCATCTTTGATCCATCTTGCTGGAGCATCTGCGGCGGCTAGTGATCCGCGGGATCAGCGGTGTGTTTAAGTGTGATCAGCGGTGCAGCAGAAAAGGGGTTACCGGTGTCAGCTCGATGCTAATGTTGTTGATCAGCGATCGGCTTCTTATGCCTAAAACTGTGACATGAGCAGTTGCTTCAAGGGGGACAGATCTTCACGGGAGACAGATCTTGCCGCTACAACCGGTAAGTTTCAGCACGCCGTATACCAGCTTATAAGACGACGACACCCGGCGTATAAGACGACCCCCCCGACTTTTGAGAAGATTTTCATGGGTTAAAAAGTAGTCTTATATGCCGGAAAATACGGTATGTACTAACAGCATGCGCTGTTGTCACCTTGTGGGGATGTTTATTATAAATACAGAAACTAAATAATCCACAAAGCTGTAGTTTAGTTTACTTCCAGCTAAGTGGTCACTCAAAACTGGTACTAAGCAAACATTCCCATGCTACAGCTGACATAATTCCACTGTCTGTTTTTATGCAGATTGTCATAGCACTGAGAAACCCAATCTTTGATCTCCAAACACATCAATACGTGCTGTTCAACCTGAACACAAGCTTCAGAACCACTGGGAATTGAAGTGCCCTGCTACATTATACTCTCTAAGCATACATTCTGCAGTAAAATCTTATTTACAAGTATAGATAATATATAATAAATAGTGCGGCATTTCTGTTGCACTGTTTTTTTCTTCTTTTTACTGACAGAGAATTAGTACATGCACAACCGACAACTAGTATGTAACTTACAATTCAGAAGTCCTAGCTGAAGAAGAGACGCAAGAGCAGTTAAGATCATGAATAGAAGCAACCCTCCTCTTCTTCCTAAAAATCCAACAACGGGGCACATTGCCAGGCATGATGCAAGTGTAATTCCTGCCATAGCAAAATAGTTGGCATAGAAGTTGTGCATGATGCTTGTGTTCATGTTGACTTCAGGGTCCATGAGACTTTTGGCAAAACAGTGGTGTATCCCATATCCAGTCAGCCTGCACATGGTGGAAAACGACAGTGATTAAAACCTTAATGTAAGCATCAATCTAAAAAAATGATGTAGCAAAAGTATAAATATATACCACTTTGTATTCTCATATGAACAAAATAACAGAAATATCTGGGAAACGTATTGTTTACGTGACATTTGGTTTCATAGTAACAATAATGGAAGTAAAATGAGAATGTAATTGTTCTGCGACTAAGACACTGAAAGCCCCAAAATTCTTTTAGATTTAAAGCAGAAGTGTAGGCAAAACTTTTTTTATTTTGGATAGAGTAAGGGAGGGTTATCAGGGTGTGGAAATTAAAAAAAAAAAAAAAAAAAAAAAACTACTTGTCCAAGGGACTAAATTAGGGTCTCAATCTACTTTTCCCTCATGACAATCTACTTGTCCTAATTTAAAAAAAAAATAAAAAATTGAATCAAAGCTGTATTTAAAGTGTTACTTCAGCCAGGACCCTGCATTCACTATATCTGGTCTCCCACAGATCACACAACATGGAAGTGAAATTATTTCAGAAATTCTAAACTGCTAAATACTTTTTCTCTTTAGCAGTTAGAGCAATCTTGTGACTCCTATCAAGTGTCCAGCAGAGCACTGGTTAAAACTTGTTGGAGGAGTTTTCTCTAGGAGGATGCAGAACCCCTGACCTCTGTCTGGACAGTGCTGATCACATACACTCTCCCAAGAAAAAATTACTCTCTAGCAATACAGACAAAATTGAGCATGTGCAGCTGGCCCCCAAGGTTCTGTTCTATTAAGAGATGTATTATTATTATTTCAGGTACTTCTATAGTACTGTCAATTTACGCAGCACTTTTACATATATTTTGTACATTCGTTTCAGTCCCTGCACACAAGGAGCGTACAATCTAAAGTCCCTAACTCACATTCATGCATACACATACTAGGGACAATTTAGACAGGAGCCAGTTAACCTACCAGCATGTCTTTTGGAGATGAGGTGGGGACAGTGGAAGAAGGGGAGGATCAGAGAAGACAGGATCAAACATCCTTTTTACACAATGCGGAGGATTAACCCATTAAGTTCCACAGTGAGTATAACAAGTATGCTTTGCTGCATATACAGACTGATTTTACTGTTGTGGGTTTAGTAACATGCTAAGGGGCTGTGTACATTGTCCCAAAGACAACAAATACAGCTATGTTCACATTCGTTTGAAAAAAAAAAACTGCTCTATGACTATATAGTAGAACAAAGAAAAAAACTCTGGATGGCTGCACATTCAAAACATTTTCACCTTTATTGTATAAAAAAGTAAAAACAGCTCCAAATATAGTGAGAAGACAGCAGGTATATCTGGAACATTTCACACTAAAACCAGCCCCTCTTGGCCCTTTGCTGATTACATGCACTCTCCCCAAAAAAAACAACCTCTCTAGCACTACACACCAAACTGAGCATGTGCAGAGTGACTCCACACAATATGACTTATCTGGATATAAGAGGGGGACGGTGGAAGAAGGGGAGGATCAGAGAAGTCAGGATCAAACACAATGCAGAGGATTAACCCCTTAGGTTCCACAGTGAGTATAACAAGCATGCTTTACTGCATATACAGACTGATTTGTTGTAGGTTTAGTAACAATTTAAATCTGAGGTGCTTTTAGGAATGTCTGGGGCTTTATGGCGACTTAAACTTTTATTGTTTTTACCATTGCGCGGTTTATCTTCTCCTCTCCCTGCCTGTTTCCAGTACTGCAGCCAGGTACTAGCAGGGAGGGGAGAGACCTTGCAGTGTGATGAGTACCGATTGGGTGCCCATTGTCTTGGGCTCTCTCAATGCTCAACAGAAGCACATCTGCTGAGCGAGTGAATGAGGCACTTGGGTGCTCAGTACAAACACATGCCGAGCAGCCAAATCAAGCTCCGGTGTCTACTCCGATAAAGGATAAGTTCACCTTTAAAAAAAAAAAAAATAATGATAATAAATGCACATTTTTTGCAGGTAAAAAAATGTGCATTTAATTTTTTTTTTTTTTTTGGAAGCCTGGAAAGCAGATCGCTGGTTCAATGCAGGACTCCTGCAGACTGTTAGTGTAATCTGTCTGCCTGTACATCATACATCGTACCAGCAGGCAGTTTCACACTGACAGGATGAACTACCAGAGAGCTCAACAGTGCCGTGGTAGTTCATTGACAGCTAAAAGCCGACATCCGCAAAGGATATAGTTGATTCATTCACAGAACTCTGTGTGGCAACGAGTATAGGGAACTTCTCCCTGTACTGCTGTCCCACAGAGGGCCCTGGATAGCCAAGCTGCTGGAGCGGGAACATGTTACCAAAGGTGAAATTATCCTTTAACCCTTTTGCTGCGAGAGTCCTTTTTATGTTTTTTATACACATTTAAAAAATAATTTTAGGCTTGAAGATTGCATAAACCCCGGAAAACATTAGATATTTCCTGAAAGCAGACACCCTAGAGAATAAAATAGAGGTGGTTGCAGTAATATCACGTGATATAAAAAATTGAAAAGGTCTAGGCCAGGGGTAGGCAACCTGTGGCTCTCCAGCTGTTGCAGGACTACAAGTTTCATCATGCCTCTGCAAGTCATAGCTGTAACTGTCAGTTTTGTAATGTTGCAATGCCTCATGGGAAATGTAGTTCTACAACAGCTAGAGAGCCGCAGGTTGGCTACCCTTGGTCTAGGAAATGCACAAATTCAGCAAAAAAAAAAAAAAAAAAACACACTTAAGTTAATTTTTTTGTTAAAATATAAAAGATGAGGTTGCTTTGAGTAAGCAGATACCAAACATGTCAAACTTTAAATCTGCGTGCGCTTGTGAAAACTTTAGTACCCTATATTTTCTACAGGCAACTTTTTAAAGCCCCTTATCAGGGCTTTTTTTCCGACGGAAAATAAGTGCAGGAACTCCCTTCCTTTTGAGTCACCCCTTGTCTCCACCTCCTACCCACATCCAAGTACTATCCCTTGGTTCCACCTCCTAGTATTCCCCCTTTTAGATAATACAGAATCAAGTATCATTTTGTGGTGCCAAGTAATTTGCATGTAATGTGTTAACAAGAAAAGCAGTAAAATACAGTAGATCCCATGCAGCCAGCAACAACAGATCCCTCACACAACAATAGACACTCCCAGCAACAATGGACCCCCCACAACAAAATACCACCCAGCAACAATAGATCCACCTCAGCAACCATTGTTCACCAGAAGCAGCAACAGATCTCCCAGCAGCCAGCATTAATAGGCCCTCCAGCAGCCAGCAACAATAGACTCCTCCCTCAACAAGAGATCCCTCCCAGCAACATAAGACCCTCCAAGCAACATAAGACCCTAATGCAAAAATAGATTCCCACCAGTGACAATAGATTCCCCAGCAACCATCATCAATAGACGCTCCAGCAAACCCCAGCACCCCTTGTCATTACATACATTCAGTGCTAGAGGTGCCGGAACAGTGTTCCCGCTGAAAAAAAAGACCTGTCCCCTATAGATCATCAGTTTAGCAATACAGAGGAGGTCTGGAGCTAGAATTATTGCTCTCGTTCCGGCATGCTTGGGGATATATAATGTGTATCGCAATTGACGTTTTCATGCATAGGCTCCCCGACGTGCGCATTTACGTTTGTGCGTATATGTGGGGAATCTCAAATTTTTTTTTAGGGGGTTATATTCTTGGGTGTAATTTTTTGTACAATTAAAAAAATACCTTTTTCTTCATCACATAGGGGACAAAAAAGTATTTGGTGAAAGGTTCTCTTTTAGACATTTGAGCTAAATGTTGAAAAAAAGACCTTGGTGGTGCCCGGAACTACATAATATAAATTGCAATTTCCTGAATTTATAACCCCTGTAAGGTTTATTTTTTGCCTGCAAATTAGGGGACTCCAAGGTCACCAGAACTAGTGTACCCCTCTATTACTTTTCTGGGGACAACCCGAAATTTGGGATTTTCTTTTACTTTTGCTTTCAATGATAATGGTAAGAAGGACAATACAGAGGGTGAATCTCCCTAACGGGGACACAGATAGCCATTGAAACTGACAGGTGTTCTAATTCCTCTCTGCTCTATCCAAATCTAAAAAAAAAGTTTTACCTATAGTTATACTTTAAGTTCATTATTCAGTGACTCATTCCAGTAGTAACGACAAAGCATCTAGCCAATGGAAAGGACATATGTACTGTAGTAAAGCAGCATTTTACAACCTAAGGGGCTCATTACATCAACAGCATTAAGGCTGTGTTGCTCAATGCAGTCCCAATACAGGAATAAGGCAATTTGTCTGCTGTCCTATGGGTGCAGTTCTCACAAATGGGCTGCAAATAGCATACAGTGAATAAAAAAAAAAAAAGAATAACACACTGCTGCATGTGTTCAAAACATATTACAGTACAGCATAAGTTGAAAACGCATACCAATGTTGTAATGGTTGTCTATTGCTCCATCAGGAAGATCTTCCACAACACAATGGCCCGGCTTCAATGGCTGCCACTTTGCATTAAGCTAGGCTTCATCCATGCCCTCCCCCTTCCCAGAAAAGGAACCGCCACAGATGGCTAGAGATATGTTGATGCAGCAATTAGGTGTCAGCATTTATGTCAGTGACCTTATAACCATTTTTGGTCTATATAATGCACACCATTTTCATGACTCATGATCAAAGTATAAAAAAAAAATTACAGAACCCTCTTCAGCTGAACTGTAAAATCTATATACACACTTGGGATAACAGAATCCAATATCAAATATACAATGTTTCACATAAAGAATGCCCAACATGTTCAGGTTTTCAGAAAACATCTCAAGTGTATAGCCTTCTTTATTACTGGGTTATCTAGCCTTTTCCAAAAGAGGAATAATTACAATTTAGCAGAGTATTTGAAAACTGGAGCAAGACATGCTGGACTGGGAACATTTCTCACTAGACCAATGAAGAAGACATACAGTTGCAAGAAAAAGTATGTGAACCCCTTGGGATTACGTGGAGTTTTGCATGAATTGGGCATAAAATGTGCTCTGAACATCATCTAAGTCACAACAATAGCAGAACACAGTCTGCTGAACATAATACTACACAAACATTAGATGTTGCCATGGTTTAATTGCACATAACATGTAAACATTCACAGTGCAGGGAGGAAAAAGTATGTGAACCTTTGGACTTAATAACTGGTTGACCCTCCTTTGGCAGCAATAACCTCAACCAAACGTTTCCTGTAGTTGCAGATCAGACCTGCACAACGATCTGGAGTCATTTTGGACCACTCCTCTTCACAAAACTGTTTCAGTGTAGCAATATTCTTGGGATTTCTGGTGTGAATCGCTCTCCTAAGGTCATGCCACAGCATTTCAATCGGGTTGAGGTCAGGACTCTGACTGGGCCACTCCAGAAGGCGTATTCTGTGCTGTTGCAGCCATTGTTTTGTTGAATTACTTGCATGCTTTGGGTCATTGTCCTGTTGCATCACCCATCCTCTGCGGAGCTTCAGTTGGCGGACAGATGGTCGTACGTTTTCCTGCAAAATGTTTGGATAAACTCTGGAATTCATTTTCCCATCAATGACAACAATCCGTCCAGGCCCTGAGGCAGCAAAGCAGCCCCAAACCATGATGCTCCCTCCGCCATGTTTTACAGTGGGGATGAGGTGTTGATGTTGGTGTGCTGTGCCTTTTTTTCTCCACACATAGTGTTGTGTGTTCTTCCCAAACAACTCAATCTTGGTTTCATCTGTCCACAGTATATTCTGCCAGTAGTGCTGTGGAACATCCAGGTGCTCTTTTGCAAACTTCAAAGGTGCTGCAATCTTCTTTTTGGACAGCAATGGCTTCCTCCGTGGTGTCCTCCCATGTACTCCATTCTTGTTTAATGTTTTCCTTATTGTAGATGTGTCAACAAAAATGTTAGCATGTGCCAGAGATTTCTGTAGATCTTTAGCTGACACTCTGGGATTCTTCTTTACCTCATGCAGCATTCTGAGCTGTGCTCTTGCAGTCATTTTTACAGGACAACCACGCCTAGGGAGAGTAGCAACAGTGCTAAACTTTCTCCATTTGTAGACAGTCTGTCTTACCGTGGACATATGAACATCAAGGCTTTTGGAGATACTTTTGTAACCCTTTCCAGCTTCATGCAAGTCAACAGTTCTTGATCGTAGGTCTTCTGAGAGCTCTTTTCTGCGAGGCATGGTTCACATCGGACAGTGCTTCTTCAAACCAGTAAACCCAAAACAGGTGTGTGTTTTTTAAGGGCAGGACAGCTGTCAGCAACACATACAATATCATCACACTGATTGGAGTCAAGGTTGGCTCACTCCTGGCTCCAATTAGCTCTGGGAGAAGTCATTAAGCTAGGGCCTCACATACTTTTTCCTCCCTGCACTGTGAATGTTTACATGTTATGTGCAATTAACCATGGCAACCTCTAATGTTTGTGTAGTATTATGTTCAGCAGACTGTGTTCTTCTATTGTTGTGACTTAGATGATGTTCAGAGCACATTTTATGCCCAATTCATGCAAAACTCCACGTAATCCCAAGGGGTTCACATACTTTTTCTTGCAACTGTATGTCAGCCATCCACCAATGAAATGCCTTGGCATACTTACGAATTCACACAGAGAACAAGAATATTCTTCCACAAATTCCTTGTTCCCACCACTTTCACAATGCAAACTTTTTTTGGTCTTCTCTCTTGCTCTCTCTCCAATTCTGCAATAGAGGAACACATCTATTAAGCATCACAGACAACAAACATTCATGAGTATGCAAATTCATAACATGCCATAATGTCTAGCATTGGTACAATATACACCATATGGCCAAAGCTTTGTGGAACTTCACACCTATATAAAGTTGTTTCACATCCCATTTCAAAACCGTAAGCATGGATATGGAGTTGACTTCATTCTTTTGGAAGTGCTTCCCACAGGATTTTGGTATGCATATGTTGGGATTTGTGCCCATTCAGCCCAACAGCAGACAACTCAGCTTGCAATCAGTGTTCCAGTTAATCCTAAAGGTGCTCAATAGGGTTTTGGGTCAGGGTTATGTGTGAGCTACACATTTTCCTCCACATCGAACCATTTCTTTATGGTCCTAACATTTTATACTGGAACTAAAAAGGCCTTGCCACAAGGTTCAAGGTATACAGTTGTGTAAAATGTCTTTGTATTCTTTAGCCTTAACCAGTGGTCTCCAAACTGTGGCCCGGGGGCCAGATGTGGACCTTTGCTTGCCTTTATCTGGCCTTTGGGGCACTATTCTACTTAATGACATGACACACTATTCCTCCCACTGATACCAATGATTGGGCACTATTTCTCCCACTGACACCAACAATTGGGCACTATTCCACCAACACCAATGTCTTGCTCCTCTAAAGTTTTAAGGACAGTAAGTTGGCCCTTTGTTTAGAAAGTTTGGAGACCCCCGGCCTTAACAGGACTCTTAGCTGGAAAGACCTCATCTAAAAAATCTGGAGGGGTATCCACATAGCTTTGGCTATGTAACATAGGTCGTATAGCAAATTTTGCTTAAACACAAATTGATCTTTTTAGCAAGGGCTTGTTTATACTTATGATCAGGAAGGGTGATAAAAACAGGCAAATGGGATGAATTTGTATACCCCATGTTGCATTCGGCGGGCAGTTTTGCTGTCGAACTCAACCCATTCAAGTGAATGGAGCTGCACCACAACTACATGTATTACGTGCAGCTGCATGGCATTTATAGGGTTAAACCGGTAAGGAGGACACATATTGCCTCCTCACCACTTCCTAAAACACATCTGGAAAGCAGTCCACCATGAATCCCGTTTCAGTTGGATATTGATGTCTGCCACATTTGTTAACATAGACTAAAAGTTCTTTTAAAAAAAAAAAAAAAAAAACTTATGGTGCAGCTCAAAACTTACTGTGAAATATCTTACTACTGCCTGCTTTAAGGGCTCTTTTACACAGGTGTTGAATTCTAAATCGCTTTAATGCGCCTACAATGTTAATGAGCGCTTTGGACCTTCATGCCCAGTGAGATGGTTTTTTTTTTATGTTTTTACAAACTTTTGACGCTTTGCAACCGCACCCTAAACACACTGTAAACTATATAGGCACATTTACAGCGCATTTACGGCGTGCTTGTGGTGTGCTTCAATAGAAGTGAATGGAGGCAGCTGCAAAGCGTCCATGCCTACCAAACTTTGCAGGCAGCATTATTTTTGCCTCACCACAAAACACAAAGCAATGCTAACACTACAGTGTTAACATTTTCATCTGCCACTATTTTAATAGTTTTGAGTGGCATTGATAGGCGTTCGAGAAGCGTTAAAAATGTGACCCAACAGCCTATTTTCAATACTTGAGTGAAAGAGCCCTTATATTCAGCTCCAATCCAATATATCAGCTTGTCCTGCTCAAGTAGTCTGCAGCTAAGCACACAACCCCTGCTAAGTCAGACCTATCGCTCTACAATCAGACGGGAGCAGGAGCATGCTGATTGCAGAACAATAGGTCTGACTTAGCAGAGGGCGCTGAAGAGAGACTGCTGCTCCTTGGCTAGAAGTCCTTGGCTACAGACTACTGGTGGGGTACAGGATTTTCTGGGCTGGGGCTGATTTATTTATTACACGTACTTATATAGTGCCCTCAATTTACGCAGTGCTTTACATATATATATTGTACATTCACATCAGTCCCTGACCCTCAAGAAGTGTACAATCTAAGGTCCCTAACTTACATTCATACATATACATACTAGGGCCAATTTAGACAGGAGCCAATTAACCTACCAACATGTCTTTGGAGTGTGGGAGGAAACCGGAATACCCAGAGGAAATTGATGCAGACACAGGGGGAACATACAAACTCCAGACAGGTGGTGCCGTAGATGGGATTCAAACCAACGACCCTAGTGCTGCCAGATGGAAGTGCTAACCATTTAGCCACTGTGCTGCACATAGAATATTACATTTTACAAATGTTTTTTGGCTGCACAAGGAGTTTATGTCCTTTTCCTGAAAACTTAATTTGGGCTTTATATCTACAGACATTATATTGCTTTAAGGTGTGCTGGCCATTGCTCACTTTAGAAGTAAATCGTTTGTAAACAGAAGGCTTTGCATTTTGTCTTGGTATATGCAGTACAAGTTAAGCAAAGTATTATGTACTGCTCCCATCTTCACAATGCGAATTAACGATCTCTACATTGACCCACAGCACATGCGTCAAGCATGCAAAAAAAAGAAAAAAGCGAACACAGTCCAACTGCCAGTGTACAGATGTACATGTTATAAAGTTTGTATTTGTGTAGTCCATCACACAAAACTACTCAGAAAATAGTCTGGCTGCCACTGCTGACCTGTTTTATTATAATGTTAGTTGTCTGTCTTCTCTGGAGTCTGTCAGATTAAGTCATTAACTTGCAAGCATGGAGTTGGCCATGGTCAACCATATTTGTTCCAGAATGTTTAATCAGGGTGGATTTGATTTAAATCAAACTGATTTAAATCACGATTTAAATTACGATCTAAATCACTAGTCAGTAAGGCTTGATTTAAATCCTAGTTTTCTACATAAAGACTAATTTTTGCTGGTATAACTTTAATATGCAAGTCAGATGAAGATTTTTAGAATAACAACTTTCCATATTATTAGTTATCCCCAGTTTAATAGGTTAATCATTCATATTTGGACAACTTTTCTGTTGTACTTAGGAAGGAGAAAAATAATCATTACCTTAATAATAACAATGATTTATTCAACTGAAACAATAACATTCCAGCATATGTTATAAACAAACATCCATGTTTGTTAACTAATTTGGCTAAACAAAATATATATATTTTAAGAAACTTAGACTGTCTCCTCACACTTAGAGTCACTTTCTTCTTGTGCAGATCTATTCCACTCCAAACAATCAGAAAAATATTGTTTCTATTCTATTCACTGAACTTCTTGAAACTTAGCACTGAAGGGGTTGATTCTGTATTCATAGGTTTGTAGAAGTTAGGATTAAGGTCTTTTTCTTAAATCTGTTCATGTTATAACATTTTTGCTGTGAAGAAGAGGCATGTGATCTCCGCTGAGTCAAATTCAGTTTTGAGAACTGCAAAAGTAAACCGATCATCTGTGATAATATCTTGTAGGCAGAGAAACTGCCCAATAATCTTACAAAAACCTCTGGAAGAGCATAACATTGTGAATGGATTCATGGAATTTATTTACCAAAAAAATTAAACATATACAGCCTTATTCCACATAATTAAAAAACGAATCTTTATTTCATGATGGAATAACCTTTGGATGGTAATATATTTTCCTCAAAAAGCGTTTTATCTAAAAAATCCGATTTAAATCAAAAAAATCCGATTTTTTAAAATTTTGTTAAAAAAATCATTGATTTTTATCCACCCTGGTTTAAGTTTCTGCATTAGTATGAAAGCACTTATATAAGCAAAAGCAGAGCAATGGCAACCTCCATGTTTCTTCAGTACAGGTTTCCTTTAACAGAGGCATTGGTACCACTGAGTCAATGTATCTAATGCACAGGTGTCAAACTGCGGCCCTCCAACTGTTGAGAAACTACAATTCCAAGTCATGCTTTTTACTGTCAGCCTTGCAATGCCTCATGGGATTTGTCATTCCGCAGTAGCTGGAGGGCTGCAGTTTGACACCCCTGATCTAATGTATGATATCAACCATGTACAGAATACATAGGGACAAAAGCCAAGCCTCCTATGTACAGTTTACTACATTCTAATATTTATTTTGATACACAATGCCCACCTGACATCACTCCTTTAATGTCACTTTCTGTGTTCACTCTGTTTCTGTGGAGGATCTGAAGAATTTGCTTCTTAGAAGCTTCAAACTGCATTGTAGCCATCAGCCATCTCAGAGACTCCGGAAAGATGCTTCAAAGATAAGTGAAATGATTATTTAAAGACAGAAAAAGTAGAAGAATAAGGCCTTGTTCAAACTATAAACGCACATTATGACAGCTGCAGGTATATAAAGTATTACAAAGTTGACTACAGTGCACTGCAATGCACAGGTATATATGGTATGTGTGTTGTGTTGCCCTGCCGTAGGCTACCTAATTCCTCATGCACACTGGAAGGTTTTACAGCTGCTGTTTTTGGCTTTCGGCGGTTTTCTCTACAGCCAGTAAACTCCCCAGCATGTTATCTTATGTGTCCATGCACACATACACTGTAATCAGCGTTTTTTTGGCAGGGGTGTTTTTTTCGGCTGGAAAAAAACCATGACTAGTGGAGTATTTAGCTGTAAAAACGCTCTGCAAAACGCGATAAACCGCTGCAAACCAGCGTTTTTGGACTTTTTTTGGTCAAAAAACCCACTAAAAAATGCAAAACTCTGAAAAATACGGGAAAATGCTGCTAAACGCTAATGCAAAAATGTTAGTTTTTAGCGTGAGTTTACACAGCTAATGTTACCAGTGTTATCAAAATGTCAAGTGTGCAAGAGGGCTTACAGCAGCTTTTTTGGGCTTTTGGCGTTCTTTTCTACAGCCAGTATGTTATCCTATGTGTCCATGCTTTTTTGGTCTTTTTTGACCCCAAAAAAATGTTTTTTGGTCATAAAAACGCAAACGTGGGAAAACTCAGCTAAACGCAGCAAAATGCCGCTGAATGCTGATCCTAAAATGCTAAAAAAAGCTAAAAAACCTCACATTTTTAATGTGAGTTTACACAGCTAATGTTACCAGTGTTATCAAAACATTAAGAGTGCATGAGGGCTAATGCAATACACCTCAACACACAAACATGTGCGTGTTGCAACGCATTCTGTTATGGTGTGAATGGACTCATAAAGAACCCAGTGTTATATTCAAAATAAACTTTGTATTTATAGTGAACTTTGTCAACAGTTTAGTAATACTCCTCCTACTTTAGGACATGGAAAACAAATGCCTTATGGTGACTGGGCCCTTGGTTAGCAAACATTAAGGGCCCATTAGATCTTTGCAATTCACTCAAGCGGCACTAAACTTTGGCTTAAAAAAAACAGGTATTATTAACCCAAAAAGTATGTTCTGTTGCTCTCTGCCGCCTCCAAATTCCTATTTTTTACTTTAACTTGGAGGGTGGCCATCTTCGTTCTCAATGGTCCTACTGTATGTAGGGATGTAACCACCCTCTCTTGCTTGCCCCTGAGATGGACTATGGGATATGTACAGAGCATAGAGTAATGCACATAAACATGACCTTTGAGCCTATTTTTTTCTGATCCACTGTTCTTGCCTTTTTACCTATCACCTGTTCCACCTTCTGTTCCTGACCTGCCTCCTGCTGAACCCGCTACCCAAAGAACCCATTGCCTCAGTACCTTCTACCCTTCCCTGACCTGGTTTTTGACCAGAGCTTGTACCCATGCCTGTCCCTGCTTTACCCTAATTACTCTTACTTCTTTGAATATACACTGCTCAAAAAAATTTAAAGTAACACTTTTTAATCAGAGTATAGCATTAAGTCAATTAAACTCCTGGGATATTCATCGGATTAGTTAAGTAGCAGAGGGGGTTGTTAATCAGTTTCAGCTGATTTGGTGTTAATGACATTAACAACAGGTGCACTAGATGGGCAACAATGAGAAGACCCCCAAAACAGGAAAACAAGAATGGTTTTCCCCTACTCATCTTTTCTGACTGTTTTTCACTATTTTTGCATTTGGATAGGGTCAGTGTCACTACTGGTAGCATGAGGCAATACCTGGACCCTACAGAAGTTGCACAGGCAGTCCAACTCATTAATACGTGCCATTGCCAGAAGGTTTGCTGTGTTTCCCAGCACAGTCTGAAAAGCATGGAGGAGATTCCAGGAGACAGGCAGTTACTACACTAGGAGAGCTGGACAGGGCTATAGAAGGTCCTTAACCCATCAGCAGGACCGGCTTCGGCTCCTTTGTGCAAGGAGGAACAGCATGAGCACTGCCAGAGCCATACAAAATGACCTCCAGCAGGCCACTGGTGTGAATGTCTCTGACCAAACAATCAGAAACAGACCTGATGAGGGTGGCCTGAGGGCCCGATGTCCTCTAGTGGGCCCTGTGCTCACTGCCCAGCACCATAGAGCTCAGCTGGCATTTGTCATTGAACACCAGAATTGGCAAGTCCACCACTGGTGCCCTGTGCTTTTCACAGATGAGAGCAGGTTCACCCTGAGCACATGTGACAGACGTGAAAGGGTCTAGAGAAGCTGTGGAGAACATTATGCTGCCTGTAACATCGTTCAGCATGATTGTTTTGGTGGTGAATAAGTGATGGTCTGTGGAGGCATATCCATGGAGGGACGAACAGACCTCCACAGACTAGACAATGGCACCCTAACTGCCATTAGGTATTGGGATGCAATCCTTGGACCCATTGTCAGACCCTATGCCGATGCAGTGGGTCCTGGGTTCCTCCTGGTGCACGACTATGCCCGGCCTCATGTGCTAAGAGTATGCAGGTAGTTCCTACAGGATGAAGGAATTGATCCCATTGAATGGCCCCCATGCTCGCCTGACCTAAATCTAATAGAACACCTCTAAGATATCATGTTTCGATCCATCCGACCCCGCTAGGTTGCACCTCAGACTGTCAAGAAGCTCAGTGATGCCCTGGTCCAGATCTGGGGGGAAATACCCCAGGACACCATCCGTCATCTCATTAGGAGCATGCCTCAACATTGTCAGGCATGCATACAAGCACGTGGGTGCCCTACAAACTACTGAGTACCATTTGAGTTGCTGCAATGAAATTTCAGCAAAATGGACTAACCTGCTGCATCATTTTTTCACTTTGATTTTCGGTGTGTGTTTGAATTCAGTCCTCTGTAGGTTGATAATTTTCATTTCCATCAAACGATGGGCATCCTTACATTCCTAACACATTACCCAGTCCATATCAGTATAGATATCCAGCATGATATTTTTCCCCATTGAGATCTGATGTGTTTTCAAAGTGTTCCTTTAAATTTTTTTGAGCAGTGTAGTTACTTTCATTTTTTTATGTGTGCTGACTGGGTTCTGTATTAGTTGCTGTATTCGTGTTTTATATCGCTCATGTCTTGTGTAATGAACTGTATTACTTCAAATAGATTTTAGTCCGGTTTTCTCAGTTTAGCTCTACATATCTGGTCTTGCTAATACTGCAGGATATCAGCATGTGGTGTCTTAACATGAAGGGGTCCATGTATAAAACGTGCGTTGTGTGGGTTTGACAAACATCAGCACAATCAGGACAAAAATTTCTGTATTTAAACTATTATGCGTAATTCCTATATCCTCAGCGCCATCTAGTGGCCACAATACCTTATTTTCCTGATTGAGGTATTTCAGGAAAAAAATAAATTATGGCCACTAGGTAGTGCTGATAATATAGGTACTACACACATTACAGAAAATACAGCAGTTTTTGTCCTGATTGTGTGAATGTTTATCATATCTGAACACCAAACATTTCTATACATAGACCCCTATTTTCCCCATCCTACGTTATTCCAATGTATTTAGTCAAACTAGCTATGTTTTACCAATATCACCTAATTTTTATTAAAATTTTGGGATTCTAACTCAGTTTTATTCTTTCCTACTGCTGAGAAGCAAGTTTTTTTTTTTTACACAGGCCATTTTATAGAATATTAGGTGAATAAACAACAGGACAGAAAGATATTTTATATATTAGTATATATTAGTCTATAATCCGGAGTTCATTAATTTCAGGATGAGACCACATTTCTAGAGCTGACAGCAAGAAAATATAAATATACAATACCCCTGCAGAAAAAATAATGATGATATTTAACTCTGAATATTGCTTTACAGGTTTTGATATCCATGCAGAGGAAAGGAAAGGGAAACTTACTACCAGTAGGAGAGCATCAAGATAAAAGGGCAGATGATGACAGCCTGGAGGATCTGCCAGTCTCTGCAGAGAGCTGCCAAACCTGGCAAAAGGAACTGCCCGGCCATTCCAATGAAACTGGCCACCATCGTGATCATGAATCTGTGGCCAGGAGGGCACAACTCTATTCCTGGAAGAGAGATAATGACAGACATTAAATTTTACAACACGGTGCCAATGCTTTATAAAGTCTTAATGTCACACATTAGAGCATAAAAAGGAAATGGGATCATTGTCTTCCTAATGTTTCAAATTCCCAGCAGAAAAATACGTAGCTAATCAATTTCTATGGGTTATTTTTAATGTATGTATTAAGGATAACAAGATCCATTTATGTATTATAAATTTCTGTTAGATACATTGGAGATTTTTACTTTTAGTTATTATTATTATACAGTATTTATATAGTGCCAACAGTTTGCTCAGCGCTGTACATTACAATGGGAGACAATACATGAGAAAGTACAATAACAATACAGTGCGATACACGAGGGGTTCGAGGGCCCTGCTCCTTGGAGCTTACAACATAGTTCTGTCATTGTTTTAATATACAACTCTAAAACTCTGTTTACTTACATTTTATATATCTGAGAATAACAAAAAAGCATAATGGATACCCTGCCAAAATACAAACCAATGAAGCGGGAATGTAAGTAGATGTGCTATCAATAATATTCCGCCAGTCAATTTTCCACTACTCTAGAACAAGGAGGTTGATAAAAGTTATTGGAAAAAAAAATTATATCTAACAAGATCAAGTTCTTTGTGAACCTCCAAGGTCAGTCAGGTCTCTGGATAAAAATATTTTTTCTCTTTATTTGTTGCAATAAAATCATCTCATCATTTTTTTTTAAATCCAATGCAATTTTTGCTATGACTGCCTCATATGATAAGCAATCCACTGCTTAACCTCTTACTGTAAAGAATCTTTTTGTAAACCAATGAACAAAAATACTTCTATATGCAATTTATCTCCCTTTGTTCTTTGTACAGTTCTTGTGGACATTTGCCAAGTCTTTATACTGACTGTGGATAGCTTAACACATTGATTAAGAGTCATTTAAAATGCACATCAAAGGAGAGCGTGAGTTGGGGTATATTCCCTAGAAGCTGATAATGTAATGAGAGCCTGACTCTATATCTATAATGTGCCTAAGGCAGAGTATGGATAAGTCAGATTTCTTTGTTCAAGCAGTAAGTTGAATGAAAAAAAAAAAAACAAAACTGACCTGACTTCCCCCATCTACACACTCGAGGTAAATGTGGGAATCCTCCCCGCTGAGCTATTGTATTCTGACAGCGGGAAGATTTCCCCACTGTCATAATACACTGATCAGCATTGCAGGCTATAGCCTGCAGCGCTGATTGAGCGGGGAAAAGTGGACAAGGTGGTTGTACAGAAGTCGATCTGTAAATTGACTTCTGTACAACCTCTGTATCCACACCGGCCAAATTTCCATCCATGCATGGCCAACTTAAGGTAATAGTACTACTAACATACAAGAACCTTGTGGTGCTGGGAAATTCTAGTGTCAATAACTGTGAAGCCTCTTGGATCCTAGTTTTTACAATGCAAACAGAACCCTCAACTCCTCACCAAGTTGGATTTATTTCCTGTCACATCAATACTAGGCCCTACCTCCTGTCATTTAAACATCAAATGCCTGAACGCCTATTGTCCACTGAAGCTCTAGCATTTGACAGCTGAATGCTAGGCATAGGGCTTCATCTTGACTTGAAGTGAAGTCTCAGCTCTGTGGGCCTAGGATTCAATACATCCTACAGGGATACAGTGATGGATTTAAAGATTGACAATGGTACTTTCAGACACCACAATTTGCCTACACATCAGCAGTATTGTTACCTTAGGCACTTTTAAGACAAGTTCACTTTAGGCTGATGTTAGTTGTCTGCTGACTAGCAAGACTATTGCCTAGTGAAATCTGCTCCAACATGAAGAACTTGTGCCAGTCATCAGTTTAATACCACTTTACAACTTTGAAAATTGTTTTAAAGTAAAGCTACAAATATATTAATGGCTCATAAACTTAGATAACTAGTCCAGAGAGGGCATAAAATGACTCATACCAAAGAATGTGGATTAAGGTCAAATTCAGAGGGCCAGTAAAATTGTGAGTTAGGGTGAACATTTTCTGTTTTTTGCAGTTGTACAGTTGTGCTCAAAGGTTTACATACCCTGGCAGAAATTGTGACATTTTGGCATTGATATTGAAAATATGACTGATCATGCTACAAATTGCTCTTTTATTGAAGGATGATAATCATATGAAGCCATTTATTATCAAATAGTTGTTTGGTTCTCTGTTTAAATCATAATAACAGAAATCACCCAAATGGCCATGATCAAAAATTTACATCCCCTGGAATGTTTGGCCTTGGTACAGACACAAAAGGTGACACACACGGGTTAAAATGGCAATTAGAGGTTAATGTCCCACATCTGTGGCTTTTTAAATTGCAATTAGTGTCCCGTGTATAAATAGACAATGAGTTTGTTAGCTCTTACGTGGAAGCACTGACTAGGCTAGATACGGAGCCATGGGGATCAGAAAATAACAGTCAAAAGTCCTGCGTAACAAGGTAATGGAGCTTTATAAAGATGGAAAAGGACATAAAAAGAGGTCCAAAGCCTTGAATATGCTAATCAGTACTGTTAAATCACTTATTAAGAAGTGGAAAGTTTGGGGATCTCTTGATACCAAGCCAAGGTCAGGTAGACCAGGAAAGATTGCAGCCACAACTGCCAGAAGAATTGTCCGGGATTCAAAGAAAAACCCACAGGCAACCTCAAAAGAAATACAGGCTGCTCTGGAAAAAGACAGTGTAGTTGTTTTGAAGGAATACAATATAATGACACTTGAACAAAAATGAGCTGCATGGTCGAGGTGCCAGAAAGAAGCTTTTACTGCATCAATGACACAAAAAGGACTGGTTAGGCATGTCAAGGTGTTGTCAGGCATATTGTAACCAGGCTTTTTTGTGGCATTGGTGCAGTAAAAGCTTCTTTCTGGCACCTCGACCAAACAGCTCATTTTTGTTCAAGTGTAACCGTATTGTACTCCTAAAAAACAACCACACCATCTTTTTTCAGAGCAGCCTGTATTTCTTTTGAGGTTGCCTGTGGGTTTTTCTTTGATTCCCGGACAATTCTTCTGGCAGTTGTGGCTGCAATCTTTCTTGGTCTACCTGACCTTAGCTTGGTATCAAGAGATCCCCGAACTTTCCACTTCTTAATAAGTGATTTAACAGTACTGATTAGCATATTCAAGGCTTTAGACATCCTTTTATGCCCTTTTCCATCTTTATAAAGTTCCATTACCTTGTTACGCAGGACTTTTGACTGTTCTTTTCTGATCCCCATGGCTCAGTATCTAGCCTAGTCAGTGCTTCCACGTAAGAGCTAACAAACTCATTGACTATTTATACACTGACACTAATTGCAATTTAAAAAGCCACACATGTGGGACATTAACCTCTAATTGGCATTTTAACCCGTGTGTGTCACCTTGTGTGTCTGTACCAAGGCCAAACATTCCAGGGGATGTAAACTTTTGATCATGGCCATTTGGGTGATTTCTGTTATCATTATGATTTAAAAAGTAACCAAACAACTATTTGATAATAAATGGCTTCATATGATCATCATCCTTCAATAAAAGAGCATTATTTGGCATGATCAGTCATATTTTCAATATCAATGCCAAAATGTCACAATTTCTGCCCGGGTTTGTAAACTTTTGAGCACAACTGTATGTACAATATGGTTCCAAAACGGCGTATTTGTTCTTGTGGTTTTTTTTCCATTTGTTGGCTAAATCTAAGTTTTAATGCATCATCAAAGAATTCCATATGGAATGTATCACAAAGTCAAAACATCTTTGATGGAAGCAGTTTACTGAACCTATTCAACTTCATCTGTAATGATGTCGCTGGCCAGTGTTTGTAGCCTGTGCATCAAAGGCTTCAGAGGCCTTTCTTTGGCTTTTGTCATAGATTCAATGGGAATGTACTTTTTAAACGTGATGCAGAAGCTTTTTTTTCTATGTTACTCTACTGAACCCTATAGGAACAACATTTGTATGCAGAATGGCAAATAGAAACAGTCAATAAATACTATAAACATATAATTATTTTATTTTTAGCTCAAAATTTCTTGCCCAATAATAGTCATTGACTTGCTACAAGTAAATGATGAAGATCTGAAAGTCCGTCCATATGTTATTGTCACATTATAACACGTTATTTTACTTGTAAACAGATAATAGACAAATTTCAACCCATTGGAACACAATTACATGTTTCTGCTGTATATATACAGTACTTCTACTGATGCTACAAGCATATAATCAGTTATTTGCAATGTCAAGAAACTGCAACTCTCAATAGCATTTCATTACATCCGTAAAAGTTATACTGCAGATGACGAGTGCATATTATAAATGTCAACCAGAGGAACACGAGTATCCCACAATTTGGGATAGTTGGAATATGGTGTAAACAATTTGGATATAAATCAGTCATTAGAAAACTCTCAATAGCTTGGTTACAGTTCTTTTGTAACAGGCTTGCCTCCCAGTGTCGATTTTCAGAGTACATCCCAAAGGGATGCACTACCCCAATTCTCATGTGCATGCCACTTAAATAAATAAAGCCTCTGAGGAGCTCAGGATAATATTCCAGTGTTCTGTCTATTGCCTGCAAACTACCTCAAAATTAATGGAGGCACTGAACACAAACAGCCTTCCCTACCTGACATGCAAGAAATCTAATGAAACCTCTAATGGAGGAAAGCGGAATTCAGTGGGTAGCACTTAAAGCTGTAGTTCTTTGATATAATAACCACTTACAAAAACATAAACTTTATAGAAAACAAGTCGGTAGCGGTAATTCACATAAAGCAGCTCTTCACTTAAAAGTGAAAGTGCCACTCATCCTCCACCTTTAACAAAGTTGGTGGGTTTTTTTTCTGGAAGTGGGTACCTTTTTGTGACAGGTACTGAGCTCCACTTCTGCAATTTTGCACCTAGGCAAGAATTCCGTTAGCCCTCTGCGAACCCAAGGTGTGAGGTTTAAGCAA